ACTTGTAGATAGCAGGTAACCACTGAAAGATTTTAAGCTAGTGCAAGTGTGTGTCAATCAGCCCTTGCCCATGATACCCCTACTAGGAGTACAGAACTGTCGCTAAAGTAGAGATTTCTCCAGAGCCTCTTCATAAAGCCAGAATCCTCACATGCATTTAAAAAAACAAAACAAAACAAAAGAAAACAAAAACCCCAATAGATTGGTTGACAGGCTGAGGTTCAGGCCTTGTTTCTGTGGTGTGGATGACAATGCCTTGGAGGGGAGGATGAGAGACCTAATGTTCCAGATGACCTTTGAGTTTCTAACTGAGGTTAGGGATGTCAACAGCTGAGGTAAGAAATATAAGTGGAGGACTGTTGGATTCATAACCCTTTTTGGTTTTACTTCAGGTATGTTGTGTTTGAAGTGTTTATTAAAGATTAACTTTTTTCTTTGCTTAAGAATCTTCCCCTATTTAAGCTGGAACCTACTTCCTATTTTTGTATCTCATCTGCTTTCTTGTTTTTACCCCATAGTCTGCTAAACTTAACTATCTGCAACTTTCAGACAAAAACATTATCTGTCTCTACCCCTGGGAGTGGCCCTCTTCACTTGATGACTCTCCCTTCTCTCTCCTGGTAGGAAACCTTGTCCTTAGGGACACTCTTAGAAGGCCAATTTAGTTTCTGCAATCTCTGCAGCACTTCTTTGTACTTCTGTAAGTGTAAGCAGTTAGTATTCGGCAGCTAGTTGTGTATTTCTCTCATCACCATCCTGGAGCTTACTCATCTTTATTTCCTTAATGCCTAGGGCATTGTTTTAAACACACTATGTCTTTGATAAATGTTTATTGGTTTGAGATGAAAAGGAGGCTGTGGTTGGTTTCAGAGGACTGTAGAATGTTGATCCAGAGTTATGCATTTGGTGGATTCACAACCCTTCAATCTTCCCCAGTGCTTTTGTTAAGTTACTGAAGATTGTTTCTGGCAAGAAGAGACACATGCATCTATCAGTGACTTGAGGAAAGGACATCCGCATATTATCTCCCTTAATATTGGATGATGCCTTCTACTTTGACAAGTTATTGGTTTTACTTATCTACAGTTGTTATTTTTTTGTTCTTCTAATTTCTTTCAGAACCCTGCTGAAGCTTTAGCTGATTAACATGATTTAAATGTCTTACATCTTATTTCACAAATTAAAATTAAGTCAAAGAGCAAAAGTAGCCCTAAAGCCTCCTTTGAGGTGTTGGAGGAAGGTTAAAATTCAAAGTGCTTTGTCTCATAAACAAGAAAGACTTAGCTGTTAACATGGTCTTTACAATAATGACAGTAGAATTAAAAGAAAAGATAAACTAATTTGGGAAAGAACATGGCTGTAGAATATAAATGTGCCATCTAAGTTGCTATTAAAAATTTTCTACAAAACTAGTATATGACATGCTAAAGTAATTGTTGCATTGATGCAACAAATGAAAGTGAATTGCAGTCTCATGTCATATTCTGCAGTGCTCCTATTGTGTGTCAGCACGACTCTGAAGGCTTGGTTCACTAAGCACATCAATTTAGCATAGTTTTCACTGTCTTTGGAGCATCTAGAGAAGCACACCTGAAGTAGGCAATATTACAAAGCTAGTTTTTGAACTCTAAATTTGAACATACAAATGTTGCAAATCATTTAAAATATACACGGTTTTATGGAATTTTAAAAATGCAGAATTAATAAAGTGGGAATTTCCATTCTTTTCATATTGCTTGAAACCTCTAATTTAGCAACATCAGTGGGGATCTCTTTCACAACTTCATTTTTGATGAAGCTGTCTTTATAGCCTAGAATAGCTTGATAGGCTAATGGAAAGTGAGCAAACTGAAACTTTCTTTAAAGCTGAAAGCCTAGAGATTTCAGTATGAGAGGGAAAAAGAGAAAGAGGAGGGTTGTGTATCAGTAACAAAATGTAAAGTTAGTAAAACATGAGCTTGATTACACATTAGAATCATCTCTGCTGCGGTTTCAAAAAAAAGCATTGAGTTCTTTACAAAAGTAGAGTATGTTTTGTATGAAAAAGAAAATGAGGAACATGAATTATTTTACAGTATAACTCGAAAGATAGTTTTACTGGCTTCTGGTGTTCTCTCAAAATTGGGAGACCTTTTCAAGTAACATATGAACCCCACCTCCTTGGTGAGAATCATCTGTTCTAGTCACTGATGGGAGTAGGTTATATTCCTATCTGAGTTGAGATGAAAAATAAAAAAGACTTAACTTTCTTTCTTTCTTCTTTTTTGGTCACAGATTGCTCAGCCATATTTACTTTCTGAAATAAAATAAATCATGAAAACCTGTCACTTAACTTTGGTTTAGTCAATGCTAAATAATTACACTGGGGAATTTTGAAAGAAGATATACGTTCACATAACTTGTACCAGTGAATAATTTACCAGTTGCAATTGTAATTTTTTAAAAAGGAAGGATAATGTTCTTATAGAATGTTCTCACATTTCTTATTTCTTTGCCATTTGTTATAAGTAACAAAGCATTTCTGGAATGCTCATTTTAATTTCAAAGCCCAGGCTATTCAGTGGAAAACATTTGGTGCTTGGAAGATTTGAACAATAGAGGAGGAATGTGCAGTGGGAAGCGTCATGAATTGTGGCACTCAAAATACATTCTGAAGGAACATTTCAGACAATGATACTTATTCTTCATTTTAAAGAAGTTTTAAACTAGGTGTTATAATTTGTCTTAATCTGGGCAAATATCTTTAACTTTGTCAATATAAATTAGAGTGACAGTAGTGCACTTTTTGCTTTAAGGAATTTGTAAAAGTCCATATAATAAATAAATAAATCATATATATATAATAAATCAAGTTTAATAATAAATAAATAAATATAATAATAAATCAAGTTTGTTGCTATTGTTATATAATACACAATGATGATGCATGACACAACTTAGTGGTTTGTGAAGCATATAGAATGTTGTTCGTTAACTTCCTTAACCACATTTAGTGTGAGGGGATCAGAAGCAAGATAAAATTAGACCCAGAAGCCATGCCTTTGAAAAGGACTCCCATAACCAATTTTCTGTATGTATGTGAGGAACAGATTAGAAAATACACATTAAATGCCAACCAATATTCACATCATGTTATGTATTTAAAAAAAACTTTATTTAATCATTGTACCATATTGCAGTATGATGTGATTTGCTTATTTTCGAAGCAAGGAAAAAAGTCTTGCCAGAAGGTATTCCACTCTGGGTCATGAACATAGGAATAAAGCAAGTTAGATAAAACAGAGGGTAATTGGACAAGGAGAAAAGAAGTTCAGACAAAAATTATTTTCATCCACATATTACTCTATAGCTTGTAAGTTCTTAGTGCCTAGCTAAACAGTGGATCCAAATATCCAAGTGAGCAAATGTCTAATGCTTCATAAACTGCAAGCCAAATCCCTAAGTGCTACAGAGCAGAAGGTTTTTCAGTGAAGGTTCAAGTCTTCTAGTTTAAATATTGGATACAAGTACTACACCCCCTCCCATTTTTTCCTCTTTTCTTTATAATGGGGACTTTCAAGCTTTCATTTGCTATTGGGGGTTTAATTAGGAAATGGAAAGAATGTATATTTTTGATAAAGCATTTATGCATGAAGTTTTTGTTTCCAAATATGTATGCTTAATTTTTATTCCCAAGTAATTCTCTTATCATGAGTATGTTCTTATTTTTTTTTTTTATTTTTATCTTTTTTGAGACAGGGTCTCACTAGGCAGTTTAGGCTGGCCTTAAGCTTACTTTATAGCTCAGGCTGGTCTCAAACTTGCAATGATTCTTCGGCCTCAGCTTCCCAAGTGCTGGCATTATAGGTGTGTGCCACCACATCCTGGCACATGTTCTTATTTTTATTAAGATTTATTTCTGTTTTTCTTATAGCTTTACTAAAGGGATAATCTTAGGTAGGATAAGGTGTATACTTTAATGTCTTTGATAGCTGTATAGGTTGTAAAGTGATTGAATCAGTTAATTAACAGCCCAGTCATTTCACTTATCATTATTGGGGGTGAAGAATTTGCTCTTATTTTAAATAAATTTATAAGGATAATACATGCTTATTATTAACATATTCAGGCAAATCAAAATATAGACATTAAAAAATCTCTCCAACTATTCCATATACATAATGTTTATTGAATACCTACTGTGTGCAGTAGTTGGGTTTCTGGAGAACTAAATCCATTTTGTGCTTTTATGGAGTTTACATTTTTAGTATTGGTGGCATCCAATAAACATAAATAAAGACATCAGTTCTTGTAAGTGTTTTTAGGAAAAACAAAGTGGGATCAAGTGATAGAGTGAGAGAAGATGGGGATGGGATGGTCAGGAAAGACTCTTCAATAGGGGACTTTCAGAGAGTCTTGGAGAGGCTCTGACAGATAGAGGAGCACCTGGGGGACAGATTACAGGGAAAGATTACTCATAAGATTTTGGCTCTGTTATCCTATTTTGTATGTTTCAATGTTCCCCTCTTTGTGTATTAATCATATCTACTCTTAGTCTTAGATTAATACTGTACCAGCATAATTAAAAGTATTTTTGCTTCCCTCTTAATATAGTTTATTGGCTACAAAGTGATGTAAGTTATATTTTCTAATTTGCTAATTCTGAGATTTATAGTTTTCTATTTTTCCTACTTTTGACTATCTTATCAAGCTTTTGTATTTTTTCATGTGACGTTTCTATAGTTAATGCACACAGGCACACACAGTCATTTCAAACATTCCTGAATGGTGAGATTCAATATCTAAGGCTTATCTTTGGATATCCATGTCTTTAGTTGATAACTCAGTGATAGCTATTATGCAGCTTTTGGTGCCATGACGATCACTGGAGAGGTACCAGTTGTACTGGGAATCAATCATATTACAGTGAAACACTTTCTTTTCTTCTGGGCTATAGTATCTCAAGACCTCATTCTTCTTACAAACTATCTAATGAATTGCCTGTATTTTTCCAATTTTAGGTTACCACACTTGTAAATTGTCCCCAGAACCCTTCCAACAGGAAAAAAGGACGTTCGAAAAGAGCCAGAGTCCTTATAGCTTCTGTGGAGGAAGCAACTTGGAATTTATTAGACAAAGGAGAGAAGATTGCTCAGGAAGCCACAGTTTTAAAGGAAGAGCTTACTTCTGCACTTGGGGAAGTTCGCAAAGAAAGTGAGTACTGTCATTCTGGGCAAGACTAAACTGCATATTCTCAGGTTAAGAGTTACCAACTTAGATTTGTGAGTGCTTTGTTTTCACTGTCTTGAGTTTATTAGTTTTTTGCAGATCTGTGGGATCTATCTGTGGGGGGCAGAGTGGCTCACTAGACAGCTCCAAGGCTCAGTGTCTCAGTCCTGGCTCTTTTCTTTACTTACCAGTCCCTGCAGACAACTTTGCATCCACCATGCTGTAACTTCTATATATAACAAAGAGAAGACTAATGAAGGTGAAGACACATTTGCCCATACATAAATAAATTATAACGTTTTTCACAAACAGTTGAGAGATGGAAGTTTCACATCTGCCTCAGGACATTTTTTATTTTTCAATTTTCTAGAAGTTTAAATTCACTGAACTTTTTTTTTTGATGCTCTGTGTAAACTATGCATAACCCATTTTGCTGCTTTGTTAATGTTACATAATAAAAGCATGCTGCATCTTCTGATATATTTACTTATAATAATTTTCTAATGAATGTAAGTCTCATCTGCAGGATATTTAAAAAACTTGTCAGAAGAAAAGATTTTTTTGTGTACTTCAGCCTGCTTCAGATAACTATTTTGGGAGGAAAAGGAAAGTTCGATTTTCCTCTTTAATTTCACAAAAGAGGCGTGGACTGTCCAAATATTTCTTTCTCACTGCCTTTGACATAACTTTAAGAAATTCGGAAAGTCTTCTCTAAATAATTACAGTGAACATGCAAACCACAATAAATATTTGGTCAAATGTATGTTACAGGAGATTATTTTCTATATACTTGAACTTTTAATTTTAGCATTTATTTTTTAAAATAAAGTTTGTTGTGAATACTTAAGGCAAACAACATGATGTTATGGGATCCATATATACAGCAAAATGGTTACCATGGTGAAACATTAATGTATTAATCATTTCACACAGTTTTTTTTTTTTTTTGGTGGCAAGATCAGCTAAAATTTAACAAAATTCCTAAATACAATATTATTAACTATAAATTCCGTTTTTTACGTTAGACCTCTAGACTTGTTCATCTTATATATATTTGCTACTTTGTTTACTTTTATTTTTTGTAGTACTGAGTTTAGAAACCAGGTACATCTCTAGACTTTTTAATTTTTATTTTTTTATGTTGAGACAAAGTCTCACTAAATCATCTAGGTGGGACTCAAACTTGTGATCCTCCTTCATTTTGCTAAAAATTACAGGTATGTACTACCGTGCCCAGTGTATAGCCACTACTTTGTTTTTTGTTTTTTTTTGTTTTTTTTTATTTAAGAGGAAAAAGAGAAAAACAGAAAACAAACCAAAGCGGCGTAAGGGTACACGCAATACAGAACTACAAAACAAAACAAAACAAAACAAAACAAAACAAAACAAAACAAAACAAAAAACCATAACAGTAAGAAATTACCTGCTAGTAGATTACACACTATGTTCTTGAAAATAGTTCCTCAAATCACAGTATCAAAGAACACAAGGTGGACATTCAAACAGGGAGACTGCAAACAGCTGTGTTCAATGTTCCAAAAACATTGATAAAGTCAGCTATTTAACACCCCCAAACACACTTGCTGTTATATCCGTTAGAGCTCTTTTTTTTTTTTCCCTCTCTTTTTTACAACAAAATTTACACATCTTGGATTTTATTACTCCTTAGTGCTTATTACTTTCTTTGGGGGGGGGAAGAATACAGTCAAATATGGCAAAACAAAGCTGTCAGTCAATACCAAGGATAGACATAGCACATGGCGTAGAACAGAGTACAAGTTTATCAACAATGGTTATCAACGTTGTCCCTTGTTTCCTTAAAAAGAATTGTCTATCTTATTAGATATTATAAAGTTGGACAAAACAGTAGAGAACAAGACCAATAAAACTTAGGCATTGTAAACATTACAGGACTTCCAAAGAAGACAATAGTCAAACCAGAATGGGTATCTTAGTGAATCTTATTGTCTTCAAAGTAGTTGCCTATGTCTTCAAACTTGATACTATCATATAGAATGGAACAGAGTCTAATCAGTCAAAACAAGATCGTGGGAGTACTACAGGACTTCAAAACAAGTTAATAGGAAATCGAAAAGAGTTACTATTTATATATCCTAATTTTTTTGAATTTTTTCTTTAATTAAGACAAACATAAGAAATGACTAAATAATTTTTTTTGAAACAATAAGGGGGAGATTGAGATAAAACAGGACATAACAATATAACAATAGAGGTCACAGCATGACTGTTTCAATAACCTAGTACTTCACCACCTTATAACCTGACTTAATAGTAGTTACCATAGTGTCTTTTTCCTTGAAATATTTGGGTAAAACTTCATGTACTCTAGCTTCAAATATTTTCATATCAAGAAGCCCAGAATAAAGCCTTTCTAATTAATGAGTGAAAACTTTATAAGGCTTCAAGGCCACCTAATGGGGAATCATGATTACCACATATTTTTATATATTTGAATCATTACTTACATTAGGGAAACTATTCGGTATTCACACATGCGAGATTGATTTATTTCACTTATGAGTATGGTCTCAAGCTGCGCCCATTTATTGATAAATATCTCAATGTGATCCTTCTTTATAGCTGAATAATACTCCATTGTATAGAAATACCACAACTTTTTTATCCATTCCTCAGTTGATGGGCACTTGGGTTGTTTCCAAGATCTGGCTATTACAAATTGTGCTGCTATAAACATAGGTGCACATAAATCACTGTGGTATGATGCTTTCAGTTCTTCTGGGAATATGCCTAGAAGTGGAATAGCTGGAATAAATGGGATTTCCAGTCCCAACTTTTTGAGAAATCTCCAGACAGATCTCCACAAAGGCTGTACCAGTCTACACTCCCACCAGCAGTGCAGGAGAGTTCCTTTTTCCCCACAGCCTCTCCAGCATTTGTTGTCGGTTTTCTTGATCCTGGCCATTCTTTCAGGAGTGAGATGGTATCTCAGTGTGGTTTTAATTTGCATTTCTCTAATGACCAATGATGATGAGCATTTTTTCATGTATTTATTTGCCATTTGCATTTCTTCATCTGAGAATTGCATATTCATCTCAGATGCCCATTTTTGGACTGGATCTTTGAATTTCGGAGGTCTGAGTTTCTTTAATTCTTTGTATGTTTTAGACAAGAGGCCCTTGTCTGAGAGAGAGTTCACTAAAATCTTTTCCCAGTTTGTGGGTTTTCTTTTCACTATGCTGGAGATTTCTTTTGACATGCAGAAACTTTTTAATAAGAAGTGGTCCCAGTTATTGATTCTGGGAAGTATTTCCCGTGCGGTTTGAGTCCTGTTCATGAATTCTTTACCTACTCCTATGTCTCCAAGGTTTCTACCTATTTTGTCTTCCAATAGATTTAGTGTTTCTGTTTTAATATTCAGATCTTTGACCCATTTACATTTTAATTTAGTACATGGTGATAGACATGGGTCTAGCTTTAGTTTTCGGCAAATGGAGAGCCAGTTTTTCCAGCACCATTTATTAAAGAGACTGTCGTTCTTCCAGTGAACCTGCTTGGCTCCTTTATCAAAAATAAGGTGGTTGAGTGTGTTCGTAGTTGTGGTTGTATCTTCTAATCTATTCCACTGATCTTCAGCTCTGTTTTGATTCCAATACCATGTTGATTTTACTACTGTTGCTTTGTAGTATAACTTCAAGTCAGGGATTGTGATGCCTCCTGCTTTGTCTTTGCTGCTTAGAATTGCCTTTGCGATTCTAGGTCTCTTCTGGTTCCAGATGAAATTTAGGAGTGATTTCTCTAGATCTATAAGGTATGTTGATGGTATTTCTATTGGGATTGCATTGAATCTGTATAACAGTTTTGGGAGAATGGCCATTTTCACAATGTTTGTTCTTCCTATCCATGAGCAAGGGATGTCTTTCCATTTTCTGAGATCATCTTCAATTTCCTTTTTCAGTGTATTATAATTTTCACTGTATAAGTCTTTCACTTCTTTCGTAAGAGTAATTCCTAAATATTTCATTTTTTTGCTTGCTAATGTGAATAGTCCAGTTTCTCTTATTTCCCTCTCTGTAATTTTGTTGTTCGTGTATAGGAATGCTATTGATTTCTGAGAATTGATTTTGTATCCAGCCACATTACTGAATTTATTGTATCTAAGAGTATTTCAATGGAGTTTAGGGGGTCTTCTATGTAGAATATCATGTCATCTGCAAACAATGATAATTTAACTTCTTCTTTTCCTATCTTTACCCCCTTTTATTTCTCTTTCTTGCCTAATTGCTCTGGCTAGTACTTCCAGTACTATATTAAATAGGAGTGGTGATAAAGGACATCCTTGTCTTGTACCCGACTTTAAAGTAAAGGCTTTCAATTTTTGGCCATTTAGTATGATGCTGGCTGTTGGTTTGTCATAAATGGCCTTTATTATATTGAGGTAAAGACCATTTATTCCAATTTTCTGTAAAGTTCTTATCATGAATAAGTGTTGGACCTTATCGAAGGCTTTTTCTGCATCTATAGAGATGATCATGTGATTCTTATTTTTGGCTTTATTGATATGGTGGATTACATTTATTGATTTGCGTATGTTGAACCATCCTTGCATTCCTGGGATGAATCCCACCTGGTCATGGTGTATAATCTTCTTGATGATTTGCTGGATCCTATTTGCCAATATTTTATTGAGGATTTTTGCATCTGTGTTCATTAGGGAGATCGGTCTATAGTTCTCTTTTATAGTTGGGTCTTTCTCAGGTTTTGGTACTAGAGTAATATTTGCTTCCAGGAATGACTTAGGAAGGATTGCTTCCCTTTGAATTTCATTGAATAGTTTGAGGAGTGTCGGCATTAGGTCTTCTTTATATTTCTTGTAGAATTCTGCAGTGAATCCATCTGGGCCTGGGCTCTTCTTGGTGGGCAAGGACCCAATTACATTCTCAATTTCATTAGCAGAGATTGGGTTATTCAACAGTTTTATATCCTCTTGATCTAGCTTTGGTACT